CGTTTTGAAATGTGTGGTTTATCTTCATTTTTTTCCTCCGTCGACTACCTTAACAAATAACAAACTTTACTTAATGACATTAATTACATAACATCCCTTTTTTAATGCTGAAGGTGTTAATTTTTCAAAATAATTATCTCGCAAACACAGTCAAAAGAAATCCATTGAAGTTCCTAAGTTTGTCTGTAGAAGTGAGTAGAAACGTATATAGCAATCCCGTAATATTCGGGCATGATGGGATAGCAGATGTCTTCGGGTCATGTTAAAAAAAATAACTGGAGATTTCAAGTGAAATCTTGTCTTTACATTTGAGATGAGGTCAGGCTCGCTTAAGTAAACGTTAATTAGCTATGAAATCAAATTTGTTCGTGAGGATTTGGTCTGTTTAATACGAAAACCCAGCAGGAACCTATTTATTTATTGAGCTATAAAGGATGGGCCGCTGCAGACATGTCTTTGGGGAACGAAAAGATCATGATCAAATAAGTGGGACAATTTCGGCTACAAATCGCGAAATGACACACGCATAAAACCTGTCGCCAGGAGAAAGCCATTTGATCCCATTTGGTTTAAAGGTTGCCCCACTCTGACAACGGGTCTGGGCTTTATATTTCACGAAATACAGAGGCAGAGATAGCTGTGTGTTTTCCAGCGTTTGGTGTTCAAATCTTGATAAAAACTTTACTTTTGCTTATTTTTTTTTCTAAATAGATAGCCTCGCTTGACTTGAAAAATTGGCGCCATACATTTTTCTAATACTTATCCGGACTTATTTAATACGAAACTAAACTTATGCAAAAATGTTTCAAGTTTTTCAAAAATTTAAATGCAATGTCAATCGTTATCTTCAGTTTTCTAAATTCCTGTTCTTTTATTGCTCATTCTGCTTAATAGTGATTTTTTTCTCATATTCGGTCACACTCAGTAACCTCTTCTGTCTTAGTGAGTTTATTGCCTTGCAATGGTTGAAATGATTAAAAAAAAAGTCACAGGCGTATATATATCCCGGGTGTAACAGCGAAATCTTCCAAACCGTCTTAAAAATGATTAAATATATCTTACTGGATTTCTCCGAGGTTGTTATAACACTATTGGACTCTACATTGAGCAATAAGAATAAGAATGTATAATTACTCTCCATGCTTAACAAAAGAATCTTGATGAAATCGATCATAAACGAAAATGACATGTTCATCATTAATTAATTATAGCTAAGGATCGGATAATCCTAAAGAAGTGAAATTAAGTTCTTATTATATATATATAACCTAACCTAAACAAAATAAACTATGAAATCTCCACAAATATCCTTAAATGTCTATAATTGGTAACAAAAGCCATTGGTTTATACCAACGGCTTCCCATACTTAATACTTCTCGAATTTACTCTTGCGTGGTCATGTGTGACGTCATGAGCTGCCGTGCGATTTTCGCTTCCAGCGTCTTATATGCACGAGTTTATCGTTGCTTGGAAATCATCCATATAAACAGATATCAACACATTCTTGCCCTTTAATGCTTAATATATTGTACAGTAATTGTCATTTTTGATAATGGCTTATGTAAGCCGAAAGCTTAGAGTGGATTAAAAAATATGTATCAATATTGTTATTTTCTTTCTTCGTTTAATGATAATGTTATTAAGCTTATCAGATGTTATGAAAAGAATTTACATAAAATAAATAGACAACACTTGTCTATATTATTTAATGAAACACACACACACACACGCACACACACACACACACACATATATATATATATATATTATTTTCTAACACACACACACACACACACACATATATATATATATATATATATTTTTCTAACTTATTCAAGATGATCTTCTCCCTCTCCAAACTTCTAACTTTCTGCCCTGAAGTAACAAAGGGTCTTACACGTTTCACACACGGTTTAATTTTCAAATGTTGTTTCCCTGCTTTTTGGACTGCCATATGTGAAACTCGTCACTTACTTGCCAAAAGTTTATGGATTGAGTTGGATCTTTTCTAATTGATCTCTTTAGCTCTTAGTTGAAATGACGGTCCCTTTTCCTGTTGTGGCCTCCTGATCCAGTTTTTCTCTCTACTGTACCCTCTTTTTTAAACTTATTCACCGTTATCTTGATGGTTCTTGAATCGATTTTGAAGATGAAAGTCAGAGTAGGAATGTTGGTACCATTACTGGAGGACTGAATAATGAATAATCTTTTTCCTCTCACTATTGCTCAGTTGGAAAGCCATAGTGGGGCTGATACAAAAGGATTTTAACCTGTTCGCTTTCTACGCGAGTAACTCAAAGGGTTTTTCATTGCCTCTTACGATAAAAGGTGTCAAGATGGCTAAACGTCTTATCTAAAAACCTGGGTAAAAAAAAACACAATTAGTTTAGTGGTTTTTTAGATTAAACATTTTGTGGGATGGAGAATTATGCTGATACACTATTTGGACAATTTTGCTGTTGCACCTGTTATCTTTCTCTCTCTCTCTCTCTGTCTCTATCTATCTATCTATCTATCTATCTATATATATATATATATATATATATATATATATATTAATTCGCTTGAGGATGAAATGGAACTAATGTCTTTAATTTAATTGCAAAATTAAATTCGTGGCTTTTAGCTTCCATTTTTGAAACATGGTTAGAACTGTGTAGCGGAAAAAACATATTTTTAAATCAATTAATTTATAATATTAATGCTCTGTAAATTTACATTGGCACTATTTTGTAAAAATAAAAATATCTATAAGAACACCGGATTATATATCTTACTGTTCTTTCTTTTTATTTAAATACATATATATATATATATATATATATATATATATATATATATATATATATATATAGGACAGGTGAGATTGGAAAAAAACAGGCTGTAGATATTTTGATAAATTCAATAGCAGCACTCTCAAGAATTTTCCTTTCGACTAAATGAATTTTCTCTTTTGATAAGCAATGAATTTTTTAGATCAAAATTGTGGTTGAATTCATTTCTGTGTATGACTAATACATTTGATAAATTCCTATATATAAATTCGTCTGTGTAGCGGTCTGATATTTTTATGGTAGCCCCCCCCCTCCTAAAATGTATATAGATAAAAAATACACTCACGTCACATCTTTCCAACATTACAAAATTAATTGACACAAAATTTCTGTTGGCTTTAATACACACACACACACACATGACACACACACAAAAACACACACACACACACACACACACACACACACACACACACACACACACACACACACACATATATATATATATATATTTGGTTGATTCATGTGAGTTTGTGACCCTGGATTTTCACGCTTTTGCGATCGTCAGCTGAAGATCGCAAAAAGCGTGAAACCCAGAGTTACAACATCAATCAACAAATATCTCTATCTCTGATATTGTGCGCTTTCTAATAAGTACCGCGCATATAATATATAAATAATTTTAATACAATCTAAGCTTTCGGCTTACATAGGCCATTATCAAATATGTCACTTACAACATATTAAGCAACATACGGACAAGACAGTGATGATAGTCTGTTATTGATTACATGGATGATTTCTAAGCAACGATAAACACGTGCATATAAGACGCTGGAAGCGAAAATCACACCGCATCTCATGCCGTCACACATGACCACGCGAGAGTGAATTGGAGAAGTATGAAGTATGGGAAGCCGTTGGTATAAACCAATTATAGACATTTAAGGATATTTGTAGAGATTCCACGTGTTTATCGTTGCTTAGAGATCATCTATGTAAACATTGACAGACTATCATCACTGTCTTGTCCGTATATTGCTTAATATGTTGTAATTGACATCTTTGATAATGGCTTATGTAACCCGAAAGCTTAGATTGTATTAAAAAAATATGGATCAATATTGTGAATTTCTTTCTTCGTTCAACGACAATGTTATTAAACTTATCAGACGTTATGAAAAAAAAATTACATAAAATAAATAGACAACACTTGTCCATATTATTTAATGAAATATATATATATATATATATATATATATATATATATATATATATATATATATGAATTATTTTCAGGTAAAATGAATAAAAAAGACAGAATAAACTATTTTTAGCTGGTGAGTTTCGTTCTCTGATCATTCGAAACTGTGGCAAAGACAACGGATCTACCCTTCACTGTATTTATCAAGAAGTCATGACAAACGTTTTTAAAACAGAAACTATGATCTGGAATTGGAATGAAATTCTTAAGTCCACTATTATCGCTCTTTCCAGTACTGATGGCAGTTTCCTTCCTAACCTTTTGTTTGAAGCAGTGTGGAACGTCAACATCTTCGAGTTACATGTGATATCTATTTTAGTTATTGCTGCTGCTGAAGGTTCTGAAGTGATATGGTTTCTGTTATTTGATAGAGTTCTTTGTTTATGATTGTGTAGCGCCAGTAAACGAGGTTCGAAGAAGGATGGTCCTTGCCAAGACCTACAGACTTCATTCGCCTGAAACCATTTTTAATCATTGATCTGAGAAAGCGGTTGTGTACAGCTGACAGTTTAGATATTTCAGAACTGGTTTAGCACCATGCAATACATCCATATGAGAGTCTAGATGATGGATTGATATTCTATATAGCCATTCCAAGCGCATGATTATTTTATTCCCATTTACCTTGGCCTTGTGTCGTACTAACCTTAGAAAATAACGATGATCTCGGTCTGAAAAATTCGCAAGCACTTGCAAGAAGCAATGTGTTTTACTAGGTGACCCATGAATTTTCAGTGTGTTGAAAAAAGTCAGATTTTAATATTTTTCAGAAGTTTCGAAGAAGTGTCGTTCACGGTAAGACAGACAAGCTTCAACCACTCAAAACCATTTTAAAACATTGGTCTGAGAAAACGGTCGTAAACAGCTGACAGTTTAGATATTTCTGAACGAATTTGGCACCGTGCAAGACGTAGATAGATTGCTTGATATTCTGTAGAGCCATTTTAAGCACATGGTTATTTTATTTCAGCTGAAATAAAATAACCATGTCACAAAGAAAGGATGTAAGGATCTGAAAGAAAGAAAGAAAGAAAGAAAGAAAGAAAGAAAGAAGGAAGGAAGGAAGAAGGAAAGAAAGAAAGGGACCTTGGCCTTGTGTCGTACTAGTCTTAGAAAGTAACGATGATCTCGGTATTATAAATTCGCAAGCACTTGCAAGAAGCAATGTGTCTCACTAGGTGACCCATGAATTTTCAGTGTGTCAAAATAGGCAGATTTTAATATTTTTCTTTCAACCTGTTCTTAATTCAGTTTTATTTAGTTATATATTTAAACTTCTTCAGTCACTGTTCCAGCGTTGAGACTTTTAACTTTGATAAAATTCGCCATTATCTTCATATTGGAAAAGATGTTGCTGGCACTAGGAAGTAATATAGAAGCAAAGTGCCCACGGAACACCACCCTCCTCTAATTATAATGATTGTATGGAGACAATAATAATAATGATGGTCAATGTATTAGTGGAAGAGTGTCGGTAGCGTTCACCCAAGGCTCAGCCTTGGGTGCCATTTGGGATGCCAGTTTATCACGATTCTGTGGCCTCTGGATTTTACGAAAGAATGAAAAAGAAAGAAGGGAAGATATTATTATGGGGTAAGAACAGAGATAATGAAGAAAGAAAGGAAAAAGAAAGAAAAAGAGTGTTATGTGATAAGGAGAGAGGTAACAAAGAGAAAGAAAGAATGAAGCCAACAAAAGAAAAGAAGGGAGTAAGGAAGAACGAAACAAGCAAGCAAGAAAAAAAGAAAAAAATTAGATGAAAAAAGAAAGAATTAAAGAATCAAACAAAGGAAAAGAAAGAAAGAGAGAAGGAAGCTAACAGAAGAAATATAGAAAGTAAGAAAGTGGAAGAAAAGAAAGTAAGATAGAATTAGAGAGAGAGAGAGAGAGAGAGAGAGAGAGAGAGAAATAAAGGATACACGGAAGAAGAGAAGTAGAAAACGAAGTAAAAGAACAGACTGTAAAAGAAATAAAGAAAGCGTAAAACAAGGAAGAGACAATGACAAAATTAGAAAAAAGAAAGAAAGACGAAAGAAAAAACACACAAAGAAGAAAAAGAGGAAAGAAACAAATCAAATAAACAAAGTTTGTGGAAAGAAAGAGTCAATCAAACAAAAGGAAGAAAATTAATTAACTTTAAAGAAAGAGAAGAAGAAAAAATGTAAGAAAGAATGTAAGAAACTCAAAGAAAGAAAGAAAGAAAGAAAGGAAAAAGGAAAGAAGGAGGAAAGAAAAATGCACAGAGGAAAAAAAGAAGGGAATACAAAGCAAATAAACAAAGTTTGTAGACGGGAGAAAGAATCAAACAAGGGAAAGAGAATTAATTAAATCTGAAGAAAGAAAGAAAGAAAGAAAGAAAGAAAGAAGAATGTACGGAACTGAAAGAATGAAGGTAAAAAGAAAGAAAGGATGTAAGGAGCTGAAAGAAAGAAAGAAGGAAGAAAGAAAGAAGGAAGAAAGAAAGAAAGGATGTAAGGACCTGATAGAAGGAAGGAAAGAAAGAAAGAAAGAAAGGATGTAAGGACCTGAAAGAAAGAAAGAAGGAAGAAAGAAAGAAAGAAAGAAAGAAAGAAGAAAGAAAGAAAGGATGTAAGTACCTGAAAGAAAGAAAGAAGGAAGGAAGAAAGAAAGGATGTAAGGACCTGAAAGAAAGAAAGAAAGAAAGAAAGGATGTAAGGACCTGAAAGAAAGAAAGAAAGAAATAATGTAAGGACCTGAAAGAAAGAAAGAAAGAAAGAAAGAAAGAAAGGATGTAAGGACCCGAAAAGAAAGAAAGAAAGAAAGAAAGAAAGAAAGAAAGAAAGAATATAAGGACCTGAAAGAAAGAAAGAAAGAATGTAAGGACCTCAAAGAAAGAAAGAAAGAAAGAAAGAAAGAAAGAAAGAAAGAAAGAAAGGATGTAAGGACCTGAAAGAAAGAAAGAAAGAAAGAAAGAAAGAAAGAAAGAATGTAAGGACCTGAAAGAAAGAAAGAAAGAAAGAAAGAAAGAAAGAAAGAAAGAAAGAAAGAAAGAAAGGATGTAAGGACCTGAAAGAAAGAAAGAAGGAAGAAAGAAAGAAAGAAAGAAAGAAAGAAAGAAAGAAAGGATGTAAGGACCTGAAAGAAAGAAAGAAGGAAGAAAGAAAGAAAGAAAGAAAGAAAGGATGTAAGGACCTGAAAAGAAAGAAAGAAAGAAAGAAAGAAATGTAAGGACCTGAAAGAAAAGAAAGAAAGAAAGAAAAGAAAGAAAGAAAGAAAGAAAGAAAGAAAAAGAAAGGATGTAAGGACCTGAAAGAAAGAAAGAAAAAAGAAAGAAAGAAAGAAAGAAAGAAAGAAAGGATGTAAGGACCTGAAAGAAAGAAAGAAGGAAGAAAGAAAGAAAGAAAGGATGTAAGGACCTGAAAGAAAGAAAGAAAGAATATAAGGACCTGAAAGAAAGAAAGAAAGAAAGAAAGGATGTAAGGACCTGAAAAGAAAGAAAGAAAGAAAGAAAGAAAGAAAGAATGTAAGGACCTGAAAGAAAGAAAGAAAGAAAGAATGTAAGGACCTGAAAGAAAGAAAGAAAGAAAGAAAGAAAGAAAGAAAGAAAGAAAGGGATGTAAGGACCTGAAAGAAAGAAAGAAAGAAAGAGGGAAGGGAGAAAGAAAGCATGTAAGGACGTGAAAGAAGGAAAGAAAGAAGAAAGAAAGAAAGAAATAAAGGTTGTAAGGACCTGAGAAAAAGAAAGAAAGAATGAAGAAAGAAAGAAAGAAAGAAGAAAGAAAGAAAGGATGTAAGTACCTGAAAGAAAGAAAGAAGGAAGGAAGAAAGAAAGAAAGGATGTAAGGACCTGAAAGAAAGAAAGAAAGAAAGAAAGAAAGAAAGAAAGAAAGAAAGAAAGGATGTAAGGACCTGAAAGAAAGAAAGAAAGAAAGAATGTAAGGACCCGAAAGAAAGAAAGAAAGAAAGAAAGAAAGAAAGAAAGAAAGGATGTAAGGACCTGAAAAGAAAGAAAGAAAGAAAGAAAGAAAGAAAGAAAGGATGTAAGGACCTGAAAGAAAGAAAGACGGAAGAAAGAAGCATACATAGAGCAAAAGAAGAAGAAAATCAAATAAACAAAGTTTGTAGAAGGAGAAACAAAGAAAGAGTAAAGCGAAGAAAAGAGAATGAATGAAATTGCAAGAAAGAATGAATGTAAGAAACTGACAAAAAGAAAGAAAGAAAGAAAGAAACGGGACAAAGATCAGGGAAATAGAAAAGTAGGATAAGAAAGAAGGAAGAGACGAGAGAACGCAAAGAAAGAAAGAAAGAAAGAATGTAAGAACCTGAAGAAAGAAAGAAAGAAAGAAAGAAAGAAAGAAAGAAAGAAAGAAAGAACTTGAATCCAAGAAAAAAGAAAGAAAAGCAAAACAAGAATAACGACCGTAACAAAGAACGTAACAGAAAGAAAAAAGACAGAAAGAGACAAAAGAAACAAAAATGAATCAGACAAGGAAAAAGAAATTAAGAAAGTGGAAAACAAAAAGAAAAAGTAAAATAGAAAGAAAGATAGAGCGTCTCATGGTTCCTGTGGCAAGGTCTCTCCCTGTTTAAACCCATAAAACCCGCTCATCCGTTGTAACAAGCCCACTTCTCTTGGCTTCTTCAAAACACGGCTTGAAACCACTTTCTAGCCAGTAGCACATTTCTCCAGCGTGCAATACAGCACTTGGATCGCACGCACCTACCAATCACCGAGAGCTTGCCAAAGCGCGACCAGTCTGAGGAGCCAGTCGAGACTAGGACGGATTAATGGCTTGGGGGATCAGATTGTGGCTACCACGCCTCTTCTAGAAGTCGTCCTTTTTCTGCGAAATAGGATTATTACGAAGCCGACTGGGGCGCAGAGATAACGGATTAGCCAGCAATGATATAACAAGTTATTTTTAAAAAGGAAAAAAAAAATTGTGTTATGGCGTTCAACGCCTTAACCCTCAACGACATGAAAATCGAATACCTTCAAACACACAAACACAGACATATATATACATATATATGCGTGCATATATATATATATATACGAACATATATATATATATATATATATATATATATATATATATATATATATATATATATATATATATATATATATATATGTACAAACACACACGCACACACACATATCTCCGACTGACGCCAATTCTGCTGGGTTTCGATCCTAGCTAGAGGCAACCGGACGTCTATCCACACTGAAGAGCTGTGATACAGAGAAACAGTTATTCCGTTATTATTTACTTGTTTTTTTTTTCGTATTTTTCCAATGAAATATGACCGAGTGTATATGTTAGTACTTCGTATCTTCATTCCAAATTGACCACAGATTCTCGATTGGATTTTAATCAGGAGAGTTTCCGAGTCAGTCTATAGTACTTTGATTTGCTCGCTGGTAAGGCTTGCCAGTGTGTTCGAGCGCGTCACAATATTCGTACGCTTCCTTGGAGTAACGTCCATCGCAGACAATGGCCTTGGGATAACTAATCGACAGTCGAGACAATAGTGTATGGGCAAGATCAAAATAAGATGCAATCGCGGATGACGCAATATTATTCAAAGTCAAACAGATTTCATCATAAAACCCGAAAATAGACTCATATTACTGCACACGGCTGCAAATGACATAATCTGAGAAAAATAGAAATAGATAACACCCTATCACTCAAGTGAGTCTAAAACTAACCGTTTGGTGAAAGAAAGGAAACTAAAGCGGTTGTTTCAATTAATTTGCACAAGAGTATATATATATATATATATATATATATATGTGTGTGTGTGTGTGTGTGTGTGTGTGTGTGAAAAATATATAGAAAATAGGAAAGAACTCGTTAGGTAAATAATCTAAAGTTCTTTAGTATTTTTTGTTATTATATTTAAAAAAATAGTGTCCGATACAAAAGTAGAGCATAAATATAATTATTTATTATATTGAAGTTTTCGGCACTTGTTTTGAAACATGAGATCTCTTATGTAGCGTGTTGAATCATATTTTTAAATAAATAATTATATATATATATATATATATATATATATATATATATATATATATATATATATTCATTTAAACATGTCTTATCAAACAATTTAGAGATGTGCTTACTTATCTTTAATAAGATCCTCTCGTAATCACGGATGAGCTTTCTTGTTTTATGATTAGAAACAACAAGAAAGGTATTGTTGCAATATTTATTCTTATGAATAAATATAACGATGTTGATGTTTTGCGTTGTTGTATTTAAATATTAGACTAGTGGAAAAACTCCAAAATTAAATATATATATATATATATATATATATATATATATATATATATATATATATATATGTGGCCTGACGATTGCGTCTAGCGTGAAAAAGACTGTCGCCTCTATGTTGAATTCTATATTCACTTTTATATATATATATATATATATATATATTATAATAATTGCAATACAAGCATTTTATATCACTACACAAACTTTTCATGTTTCGGTACTAAGATGGTACCTCTTCAGGCGATGATAGATAAGTAATGATAAAAATGATTTATTAGGAAAATTTAAAAAAACAAACCCTTTACCTCTGTCGTAAGTTAAATTTTGCTCTATTTTGCATTGAGGACCTGAAAATAAATTCTACGAACTGTAGATTTTTACCCCATCTGTTCTTTCTCTCATTTTAGCGATCGTCAAGGATGATTTTATTTTTTACTTTTGAATGACTACATAGATTTTTTACGTACGTATTTAGAGTTATATAAATGTTTTATTTTCCAAAAACGATCAGCAGTTTATGGCTGTGTTCATAGTTGATGTTATTGAGAATTGTTGTTTTATGTTCATAGTTGATGTTATCGAGTTTTTTTTTTATTAATACTGCTCCCATCATTTTAGCCTTTTTTTCTACATATATTTGTATTATCAACGAGTATATATACCAAGTGTAACAGCAAAATAGTCCAAATCGTGTAACGGCATAGTTATCCATCCCACAATAGGTATAATATCTAAAAAAAACACGAAACTAATTTCATTTTGTGTCAGCTCCATTAATCTTCCCAAAGGAGCAATGGTGAGAGGAAAAAGATTATTCAGGCTTTGAGTAATAGTACCAACATTCATACTCTGGCCTCCATCTTCATGGTTCATTCAAGAACCATCAAGAGAACGGTGAACACGTTTTAAAAAAGGAAACAGCAGAGAGGAAATCTGGATCAGGAGGGTAAAGCAGGAAGAGTGATCATCATTTCAACTAAGAGCTAAAAAGATCAATTAGAAAAAATCCAACTCAATCTATAAGATGTTTGGCACGTGAGAGAAGAGTTTCACTTATGGTAGTCCAAGTGATGAAAATGAAATCGTACGTGAAATCTGTGAGGCACCTTGTTACTCCAGAACAGAAAATTAGAAGGGCGTAGATCATCTTGTTAGAGGGTGATGATCATCTTGTATTAGTTGGAAAATGAACCTGGAATTATATATATATATATATATATATATAAACATGATTTCAATCCTTCATGAGCTTCCGATCCTTAGCTATGATCAATTAATGATCAACATTTTTCATTTTTGTTTATGCCCGATTTCATCACAATTCTTCTGTTAAGCTTGGAGAGTAATTATACATTTGCACTGCTCAAAGTAGAGTCTAATAGTGTTATAAAAACCTCTGAGAGTTCCAGTAAGATATCTTTAATCTTTTCTAAGTTACAACGGTTCAAATCTTAATCGAACAACCGGACAACTTTGCTGTTACACCCGGTATATATTGTTGTTTTTCCGACGCGACATTAACAAGAAACCTCAAATTTAGTATGTATACTTACTGGATGGTAAATTGAACGAAAATTCTCGCTGATTGGAAGAAAATTCTGATCTGAGATGTCCGAAATCACAGAAGTTACCTTCAAGTGTCACGTACCTACCTTCCTATCCATACCGTACAAGGGAATCTTTATAAAAAAGAAAAAAAAAAAAAAAAACAACAAAAAAAAATAAAAAAACCCCAAAAACAAAAAAAAAAAACCCAAAAAAACAAAAGAAAAAAAACCCCCAAAAAACAAAAGAAAAAAAAACCCAAAAAAAACAAAAGAAAAAAAACCCAAAAAACCAAAAGAAAAAAACTCAAAAAACAAAAAGAAAAAACCCCAAAAACAACCCCCCAAATAAACAAAAGAAAAAACCCAAAAAACAAAAGAACCCCCAAAAAAAAAAAAAAAAGAAAAACCCAAAAAACAAAAAAAAAAAAAACAAAAGAAAAAAAACCCAAAAAAAAACAAAAGAAAAAACCCCCAAAAAAACCAAAAGAAAAAAAAAAAACAAAAAGCAAAAGACCCCGCCCCCCCAAAAAAAACAATTAAATATATTGCAAATTAGATTTAGATTTTTATTTATCACCGTAGCGTTTATTTTAAACTTTCGTTAACTTGTGAGCGGGCAGCTGTTCTTTTTCAGCTTTCTTTGCACACTGAGGCGAACGAGAATAGAGATGCAATGTGGGGGTCCATTGTCCGGTCGGTGAAAAACTTAGACATATTCCAGTTGTATGTTTACAATTTACACTAGCAGTATTAGATTTAATAATAATTATATTTCTCATCGTTGACGATTTGTATTAATTTTGACTCGTATTGCTTAAACCTTATTTCTATTGCTTTATTTACACTAGTAGTATTAGATATATTATTTTTCTTAGATGAAACATTGTAAATCATAATTAATATTTGTCTAATACATCAATCGTCTCATTTCTCTTTTTTATCTCTCTGATCAAGCTTGTTCAGCCAGCAATCTGAAACAGTGTTGATAGCAGACACAAAATTGAAAATGCAAATTGAAACCCTACAGAACGGGGAGAACACCACCGACTCAACACCGCCGACTCAACACCGTCGACACAACACCGCCGACTCAACACAGCCGACTGAGACAACTCAGCACCGGGAAAATAACATGTAAAATATGAACCAGTTTTTAGTTTTAAATTATTTTCAATAAAATAAATCCTGAAGAATTTTATCGCACGACAAATAACGCTACAAGAGAGCAACATCAAGTTATTTGTAAACAACTACTATATATATTTAATTCTTTTACTAACGTCTCCTACATCTCAGTGAATGGGGAACAACCTTCTCACAGAGGAAGAAGAGATCTGACGCAGTAGTATAATGCTGAGGATACCATGAACCGAACATGGGAGCAATGACAAAGTTTTAGAAAAACATGGAAACTTATACTTAACATCAAGAAGCGACAGTTGAAATAATGAGGAAAGAAGGCTTTGAAAATGTGATACTCACAGGACAGATTGAAAGTAAGGGGATAGAGAGAAACAATGTATAATATACTTAGTGACCTTGAGTAAATGGATGGCAGGACAGTGTTTAAGAGAAATAACAAACAGATTTTTTTTTTATTAAGAGCTACGAACAGGATGTTGTCGAGAGCCATGATCGCCTAGCACTGAAGCGACATGGTATATAGTAAAGTGCTGAAACGCTTAGTATGACATTATGAGTCAACTACATAACTGGATCAGGACACTGACATGATGATTTACTAAGCGAAGATTATATATGGCACAAAGCCGAAAATATGGAGCACGCAGGGAGGAACGAGCTCACTACTCCGTAGTAATTGATATAGCGAGACAATCTTGCTAA